AATGCCATGCAAATGTAAATATACATATATACATAACTTCGGTTAGAAGTATGCAACCATTACTTAAAACGCAACCCCAAGAATCGTATTATTGTGGCATGAACATATATATTCGGTATATATCCGTAGTGTCATTGCTTTTCATATCTTATTTAAACAAGAGGCTCAATGGGCCTGCATTGCTCACCTGGTATTAATCTCACACTTGTAATGTGAAAAGTGGACTAAAATACAGCTACAGGCAAAATATCAGTGTTTCATTCATAAGAACCTGTTAAAAGATTTAAACATATGACACCTGTGACCTTGAATGTCGAACAAGGACATTATAATATTAGGTTGAACAGAGTTTATAGTCTTCCAACCCAGCACGCTTCTAGAAAAATATCATTACCCTGGACCTTTTGGTTATACAGAACAAATCATTTAAAGATTTAAACATATATTGACCACTGTGACCTTGAATATGGGCGAAGGTCATTCACTTGGTAGTCCTTCATCCCAGCATGTTAATGGCCAAATATCATCACCCTTGGCCTTTTGCTTATTAAGAAGAAGTCATTCAATGGTTTTAAGCATATTTGACCCCTGTGACCTTAAAATATATATGTCAAGGTCATTCATTTGAACTTGGTACTCCTTCATCCCAGCATGTTACTGACATTATCCTAGGCCTCTTGGTTATTCAGAAGAAGTTGTTTAAAGGTTTAGAACATATTTGACCCTGTGACCTTGAAAAAGATGAAGGTCATTCATTTGAACAAACTTTATAGCCTTTCATCCCAGCATGCTACTAGCCAAATATCATCACCCTAGGCCTATTGGTTATTCAGAAGAAGTTGTTTAAATGTTTAAAACATATTTGCCCTCTGTGACCTTGAATATAAGTCAAGGTCATTTATTTGAACAAACTTGTTAGCTCTTCATCCCAGCATATTACTGCCCAAATATCATCACCCTAGGCCTCTCGGTTATTCAGAAAAAGTTGTTTAAAGGCTTTAAACATATTTGACCCCTGTGACCTTGAAAGTGGGTCAAGGTCATTTATTTGAACAAACTTGGTAGCCCTTCAATCAAGCATGTTACTGGCCAACTATCATTACCCTAGGCCTCTTGGTTATTCAGAACAAATTGTTTAAAGATTTTAACATATTTTGCGCCTGTGACCTTGAAAATTGATGAAGGTCATTTATTTGAACAAACTTGGAAGCCCTTCATCCAAGCATGTTACTGGCCAACTATCATTCCCCTAGGCCTCTTGGTTATTCAGAAGAAATTGTTTAAAGATTTTAACATATTTGACGCCTGTGACCTTGAAAATTGATGAAGGTCATTTATTTGAACAAACTTGGTAGCCCTTCATCCCAGCATGTTACTGGCCAACTATCATCACCCTAGGCCACTTGGTTATTCAGAGGAAATTGTTTAAATGTTTTTAACATATTTGACCCTGTGACCTTGAACATAAGTCAGGGTCATTTATTTTAAAAATCCTGGCAGCCCTTCATCCCAGCATGTTACATTGGCCAAATTTTATCACCCTATGCCTCTTGATTTTTCAGAAGAAGTTGTTTAAATGTTTTTAACATATTTGACCCCTGTGACCTTGGATATAAGTCAGTGTCATTTATTTGAACAAACTTGGTAGCCCTTCATCCCAGCATGTTACTGGCCAAATATCATCCCCCTAGGCCTCTCTGTTATTCAGAAGAAGTTGTTTAAAAGATTTTAGCATCTTTGACCCCTGTGACCTTGAATATAAGGCAAGGTCATTTATTTGAACAAACTTGGAAGCCCTTCATCCAAGCCTGTTACTGGCCAAATATCATCACCCTAGGCCTTTTGGTTACTGAGAAGAAGTTGTTTAAAGTAAAAAGTTGACGCCGGACGCCGCACCATGCCATAAGCTCACTTGGACCTTCGGGCAAGGTGAGCTAAAAATCTACTGAAAAAGGACAATGTTATTGAAGTGTCGATCCCTTTGTAGTATATGGGTAAAAGTTTCTCCAACCTACGAGATGCTTTCCCTTTAATCAGCGAATGTCAAATACCAGCGTATAATTTAAGCATTTTATTGTAAAAATTACTTATAATTGATGGATTTTAGCAATTTAAAATATTTTAAGAAGATAATCACGAAATTAAAGGTTCGAATTTTGAGAGATCTTTGCATTTATCTTAATAAACCTTTAAGATGATAGATACTACTCTGCATCTGCAGCTTCCAGATAACTTGACATTCACCTTCAGTATGACCACAATCACACGAAATACAAGGAAAGGGAACACATATTGCATAATGTGTCTGTTGATGCAGACAACCACACGAAGTAAACATTTTACAGCGCCATGTGGTCATTTTTCGTCTATAGGTTCACACCCTATGTCTACGCGGTATCATAATAGTCGTCTCATTTACAGGTTGACGGTAATTGATAACTTCACCATTTGTAATGTACATGTTTCCCTTGTTTTTCAGACAACAGGATGGGTGTCATAGTGTCACTTGTCGTGAAAACCCTATCTTTCCAGAACTGGGGGATGGGTGGGGTGTTGTGATGGCTATCATAGAGACATATGTCATGGAACCCTTCCTTTTCCAGAACTTGGGGGGGGGGGGGGGGAGGGGTATGATGATCATGGGTGTCATTAAAACCCTTGTCGTGGAAGCTTTCCTTTCAGGTTTAGTGGAAGTTTAAGATGCATTACATTTGTATTGATGTCCCTAGGTTTCTGTTGGTGTCATTTTGTAGTATCCTCGATACTCCAGGGGTTATGTTCAATTGCGTTCCTTGCATAGAGCGGAAGCGAGCGTTACCCCTAGAGTATCGAGAATGATTTTGTAGGAACTTTTGATTCAATTGTGTCCTTATTTATGACGATATATTATTTTATGTTGTTCTTGTTCTGTAAAGGTACGGTTTTGTTGTTTCTTATATGATATACTGATGTGCTCGGAACTGTGTGTGTTATATCTAATGAAAAGATTTTTAACATAATTTCATTACAGTCATTCTCTGACTAAATAATAGAAATCAAACCAAAGGTCAAAAGTAAAACATTTGTTAAGAAGTACACTCAACCAGCAGATAACATCCATTTTTTAGAACTAGACTCCATACATAAAATTGACTGTGATGTTTTAAGAGAAAGATAAAGCATACAACATACAAAGAGGAAATGGACACTCAAATGCAATTGGGAAAATACAACAGGAACCGAGGAGGCACCAAGCATGGAATGACACCATAAAACCCTCAACAGACACAGAAAAAGGACCAGAGACCAGATCGTGTCATGTTTACCTTGTACTACAACACCGATCATGAGGTCTTCTGTAAAATCCTGGAAAGAGTGTCAGTCACGAAATGTGTTTGATAACAATGACAGACATGCAGTACTTCAGGGGTAACGCTCACCTCCGCAGAGAGCGCAATTGAACATAACCCCTGAAGTATTGAGGATACTACAAAATGACACCAACAGAAACCGATGGACATCAAAACATATGTAATGCATCATAAACTTACACTGAAAAGTAGGCTTTCACGACTTGTGTCTCAATGACACCTATTACAATCATACCCCTTCCCCCAGTTTGGAAAGGAGGGGTTCCAGGACATGTGTCTATAACACCAAACATAATCCACGGTCTACCGATATGTGCTATGAAAAAACATAGTCATACTCTATAACGATGATTGCACTGTGGGTGTTCTTCATCCACGCTATGAATAAAGGAGAAGGTAAAGACATAGATGGTTGATAAAAGTCGACACAAAAAAACAGATGACGTAAATTGCTTACTTAGCTTATTCACCTCAACAAAAGTCCATAACTGACAAATATTTCCCACGAGTAAGCAGTATGATATGTCTCTCACGAAATAATACTTTGAAATGTATTTCGAGAAAGATAAAAACAAAACAATAACATATAAAACGTATTTCAGATATGACACGCGATCTAAAACAAGAACTAATCAGTTGTATATAAAATTTATTGTCAACAAAAAAGTAAATAACATATAAATAGATATTTACAAAGTTTAAGATTCATTTTCATGAGAAACCACATGATACCTTAATGTTAAAAAACCGATATTAGAAACTGAAGTAATGAGAATGCTTGACACGCACACTGGTATATACATAAAAAGCACCATCAATATACCATGCACCATACACTCGTCTTAATCGTCGAAAATAATAGAAACAAAATAATGATTACCTACGTAAATAAATAATAGTAGAAAAATAATAGCTAGCTACAAAATTACATCACACACATACATTAAATGTTAATAAGAACCAAAGATATAACCAAGGTTATCTACATAAACACATCATACACATATGTAAATTATGTAAAAAGAAAAGTAAACACAATGATGACACTCACATGCTTATTGCTATTTAACAATAGAAACACAATAACGGTAACCTACATGTTAATTAACAATAGAAACACAATAACGGTAACCTATATGTTATCAATGTCCACTGATCACAGTGAATAGATATGAATATTGGATGAAACACATGCCCATATTACAATGCAACGTTTTATAACACAGTACATATAAAAAAATCAAAAGCACTTCCTATGAACAATTCCTGGTCCACATTCGTCATATTCCTGTTTTGAGATCCACATCTGTTGGAATGTGGATAGGGAACTTAGGATAGATCCACCAATCCACACGGAGTACTTCCTCTCTGGTGCGGCGATCACCTTGACCTTCATGTTGCTTGGCACTATAGCATCCATTTCCTTTTTAAACCGGTCAGCAATACCTATAAATAGAATACAAATGTTTCTATTAGAATTGTCATTGTAGCTTTTAAATGATCAAAGTTAATAAATCAAATTCATTAAAAATACAATCATCGCGTCCTTCAAAAGAAGCTTTGGTATTAGAAAGATATTAAGTGAGCACTCACCAGGAAACATTGTAGAACCACCCGATAGGACAACATTGCTGTACATGTCACGTCGAATGTCAATATCACACGACATCACAGAATTATGGAGAAGTTCATGAATTCCTGCTGATTCCATTCCTAAAATAAAATCGTAATGTTCTACTTTAATATCTTGAATCATGTGAAATGTCGGAGTGAATATCAATTAAACCAACACTGCTTCTATTTATTTTGGACATGTATATATCCAAACGCACGCTACACTTGCGTACATATATATTCTATCATAATGTCGTTACATATCAATTAATTGTAAAATATTACTTTAACTGAACCCTATATTCGTATCTATTTTTTTCTTCTAGTACTGCAATTATAGACGATCGGGCATTCTACAGAATACATATTCTTTGCAGGTTTCATTTGTTTCTGAACACATGAGCTTGCAAGGATATATATAGGATAAATTTGAAGAGTAAAATAAATGTATGCGTAACTAGACAGAACAAAACATCATGTAAAATGTATTTGTTTAAGGAATGATTTTTATTTTTTCAACATTTATGAGGTCATAACAACAATGGGTTTATGGACATATTGAATGAATCGCGTTAGCGATTCATGTAAAATATGTCCAAAAACCCATTGTTGTTATGACCTCATAAATGTTGAAAAAATAAATATCATTCCTTATATTTACATTGACGAATCCTTTCAGTGGATCGATATAACAACGAATAAAACAAATAAACAGGGTTTGTTCCTGCTTATACACGGGTGCAACGCAGTGGCGAGAACAGTGTTTTTTCGCGGGGAAATGTGACACTATCGTGAGAGATCTTAGCAACCGTCAACAACAATAACACAACAAAATGTAGTTCCATATTCAATGTTTATTTGTAGCACAGGACACGTGAATACGTGGATATTTCACAAAGCACAGTTCAATAATATTTTAAGATGTAAGAATTAAGCATCTAGGTCGGTCGTTCCGAGTGAGTAGTTTTTGTAGTGTATTACTACGCAGTGTGATCAGGTTACTATCAGTTCCCACGTGCTGAGATTCTATGAACACCTGTGTTAAGCATTTATGAATGTAATTTTTGTCAATCGGTCTAAGCATACAGAATGTAAATATTTACTTATAATTTATATTTATTCCACATCTTTCGAAGTTTTAGTCAAAATAGAGGAGCATAAATATTTACCTATGAATGATGGTTGGAATAGGGTTTCTGGACACCGGAACCTTTCGTTTCCAATAGTAACGAGCTGGCCATCTGGAAGTTCATAAGATCGCTCTATTGTTGACGATTTTGATGATGATTCCATTTCAGTTTCGAAGTCTAGAGCAACGTAGGACATTTTCTCCTTCATGTCACGTACAACTTCTAATTCAGCTGAAACATAATTATATAAATTATATGTACGCCATTGGCATCAGCTTTCATAAAAATAATAAATAATTGACAATATATAAAAAAACGAAAACGAAAGTGATAGATCTACGCGGTTAATTTAATAAATGTTATTATTAAATATAGTCAGGGTTAGTTATTTATGTTATGTATTAAAACTTGGACCAACCTGATGATGTGAAATTGTATCCCCTCTCGTGGAGGATCCTCTGGAGGTAGGCTGTGAGGTCACGACCTGCAAGATCAACACGTTTGATGGCGTGAGGGAGGGAGTAGCCCTCGTAGATAGGTACCACGTGTGACACTCCATCCCCGGCATCAAACACGATGCCCGTGGTCCGTCCGGAGGCGTACAGAGACAGCACAGCTTGTATCGCCACGTAGAAGGCGGGCGTGTTAAACGTCTCGAACATGATCTACAAGATACAAAATGGTTGCTGGTCAGTAACGTCATTTTCTACAAATAATGGCACAATGGTAATGTTCTTATGTAAGAGTAAATTTATATTTCAAAGAAATATGCCAATTTTTAAAGAACCTTAAACCAAGCAAAGGTATCAAATTTTACAAAAGTGGATAATCATCAAAGAATACTTGGTTGTAATATTATGCCACATACCTGTGTCATTTTTTCTCGATTGACTTTAGGATTAAGTGGCGCCTCTGTCAACATCACTGGGTTGTCTTCAGGAGCCACACGCAGCTCGTTGTAGAAGGTGTGATGCCAGATCTTCTCCATGTCGTCCCAGTTGGTGACGATGCCGTGTTCTATAGGATACTTCAAGGTGAGTATTCCCCGTTTATTTTGTGCCTCGTCTCCAATGTAACAATCTTTATCGCCCAATCCAGGCATGATCATCTGGGAGCAGTAAACGTGTGGTTTAGACAATGAAAGCAATGCCTAAGTTTTATCCAAGGTTATAAGTGATGTTCGAGAAATATACGAAAGTTAACTAATAGATAGTTACTATTAACGAAATAAATACAAACACACTTACATCATAATGGGGTCGTCCCGTAACAGCGGGGAAAACGGCACGTGGGGCATCATCCCCAGCAAAACCCGCCTTACACATTCCACTTCCGTTGTCAATAACAACAGCTGGGATTTCTTCCTCAGAAACAGACATTTTTTTTCTTTTAAGTCTTCTCTTGTATATGCTGCGGAGAAAGGGTTAAACTGAAATTAATTTCAGCTACACAGGTGGTAACATATATCTACACAGGTGGTAACATACATCTACACAGGTGGTAGCATATATCTACACAGGTGGTAACATATATCTACACAGGAGGTAACATATATCTACACAGGTGGTAACATATATCTACACAGGTGGTAACATATATCTACACATGTGGTAACATATATCTACACAGGTGGTAACATACATCTAGACAGGTGGTAACATATATCTACACAGGTGGTAACATATATCTACACATGTGGTAACATATATCTACACAGGTGGTAACATACATCTAGACAGGTGGTAACATATATCTACACAGGTGGTAACATACATCTAGACAGGTGGTAACATATATCTACACAGGTGGTAACATACATCTAGACAGGTGGTAACATATATCTACACAGGTGGTAACATATATCTACACATGTGGTAACATATATCTACACAGGTGGTAACATATATCTACACATGTGGTAACATATATCTACACAGGTGGCAACATATATCTACACAGGTGGTAACATATATCTACACAGGGGGTAACATACATCTACACAGGTGGTAACATATACCTACACAGGTGGTAACATATATCTACACAGGTGGTAACATATATCTACACATGTGGTAACATATATCTACACAGGTGGTAACATATATCTACACAGGTGGTAACATACATCTACACAGGTGGTAACATATATCTGAGTTAAAAAAATCCCTTGTTTCCAAAATAATAGGAAACTTCTTAATTAGTCATTAAAACAAGAATGAATTGATGACAAAAAATATGTTACATTGTTATAGATATACTGAATAAAAACAGGAATATATCACACACAAAATATATATTAATGAGGCATATATAATATACTGAATTAACATCGATTAAACAATAAATAAATCATTAACACATACCCTCTGATATATTATGAACGGTCGGTCCTAATTCTGTTGGCTTGTCTCTCGTGTGTCTGTATGTCGGCTGCACACCCGTGCCTTATATAGGGTCTCTTGTTTTGTTTCAGACCACAGCTACAAATCCAGTGTCTATCGAATTTTCCATATAAGGTAAAGATGGTGTTTATAAACATTATCATCGACCAAAATAAACTAAAGCGCGTCTTCCTATAAAAGGAATAACTAACTAGACACTGGCACTATATCTTCCATATAAGGCAACCCCTACTCTACTCTCTACCATAATAGGTAAATATAGACCCCGTGTATTAGCCTCGGTGTAATTGCGCTTGTGTAGTCAGCACTCCGGTCGATAATCTAAATATAGCTATTACTTTATATACATGAACGATCTTTCTAAGTGTAGTACACAGGTAAGGTAAATATACACACAAACATATAAGTCCGTTTAAAAGTTATAAGTATACGATCATTTGTAAGCCACAAGTCCAGGGATCATAATACTGAAACACGAAAATGATTGCTTTTTATTTTTCTCAAAACACTGTTTTAAAGCCAATGTTATTTGAGTGTTGATTCCTTTGCAGCATATGGGCAAAAGTATAAAATGATTGAGCATCACAAGTTTCTCCAAGCTTACAATATTTTTTCCCTTAAATCAGCGAATGTCAAATACCAAAGTGTAATTTAAGGTTCAACAAGCCCCCTAAAAGATGTAAATTTCAAACCCTGTCAAGTCATATTCAAAAACCCTTTTCAAAAATCGGAATATATATATATGTAATTTTAATATATTGAACTTGTTTATGAGCTATTAAAAAGGTACATAACCAGGTTAACAAAATCAAATACGGCATTAAGGCTGATGTAATGATAAAAGTTGATCACCAGATTTATAACATGTCAATCTCTTAAGCGACCCAACTCAATGTTACGACATGTTATTTGAAGATCATTCATTTCTCTTTAACTATGTGTGGAGAGGTATACCGGCCTCACAAGAAAATGATTGCTGCTATGGGAAAGTTCCAAAATCAAAGTAAAACGTCCGCGTAACATATTTCACATGTATATATGTGTAAAACCATAGACCTTTGATCATTAACACTACTTAAACTTAATATAAAATGTATTTTCTTAATATGCATTTTTTTTATGAAAGAGCTAGACTTGTTATAAACATTATTGTACTTTTCAGCTTCAATGTTTATAACATTTTTAGCGCATTCATATACTCACAGAATGGTATCAAATGGCCCATCATCTGAAGTTCATTTACCGATCAATGCTACTTAGCCCTTGTTTTCTTATATATATAAATTGCTAAAATGTATTACCAGGCGATTTTACTATGATTTTAGTAGTTTCGCATGGCAACATTTATCTTTATTTAAGGTCGGAATTCCTCTCAATAGCTAGAAGAGAAATAAAGCTCCTCATGACCTAGGTATATAAATAAGCTTTAAACTATGGGTCATTTCTCAGCATTCAGTTGGATCGCAAAAGAGATTGACATGTTATAAGTCCAGTGAGCTAATTCTATGAAGACATCAGCCTTAATGCCTTATTGTTTACTACGTTAACCTGGCAATGTATTTGTCTATAGCCAATGTACAAGTTCAATATATACAAATAACATGTTTAAGTTCCTATTTTTAATTGAGGTCTTTGAACATGACTTATCAGGGGGTGACATTTTAGGTGACTACAGCATCTTTTAGGAGGCTTGTTGAACCTTAAGCATTTTATTGTAAAATTAACTTTAATTGATGGATTTTAGCAATTCAAAATATTTTATGGAGATAATCACAAAAACGGTTTGAATTTCGAGATATCTTGGCTTTTATCTTCAGAAATCTTTGAGATTGAAGCTACTACGCTGCAGCTCCCAGATAACTTAACACTCACCTTCAGTATGACCACAATCACCAGAAATACGAGGGAAGGAAACACCTATTGTATAATGTGTCTGTTGATGCAGACAACCACACAAAGTCGACATTTCACAGCGCCATGTGGCCATTTTTCGTCCAAAGGTTCACACCCTATGTCTACGGTATCATAATGGTCGTCTCTTTCACAAGATAACGGTAATTTATAACTTCGTTTTTTCAGCATAAAATATTTACTATGTCCTAAACCCTTGGTAATGTACATGTTGCCCTCGTTTTTACATGAGACAACAGGATGGGTGTCATAGAGTCACATGTGTGAAACTACTTTTTAGGAATAATGGGAGTTTGAGGTGGGTGTCAGTCACATGTGTCGTGGAATTTTACCTTTCAGGAGCTTTGGGGGTTTAAGATGGGTGTCAGTCACATGTGTCGTGGAATTTTACCTTTCAGGAACATTGGGGGTTTAAGATGGGTGTCCGAGACACATATGTCGTGGAATTTTTACCTTTCAGGAACAGTGGGGTTTAAGATGGGTGTCCGAGACACATGTGTCGTGGAAGTTTACTTTTCAGGAACATTGGGGGTTTAAGATGTGTGTCAGTCACATGTGTCGTGGAATTTTACCTTTCAGGAACATTGGGGGTTTAAGGTGGGTGTCCGAGACACATATGTCGTGGAATTTTTCCCTTTCAGGAACAGTGGGGTTTAAGATGGGTGTCAGTCACATGTGTCGTGAAATTTTACCTTTCAGGAACAGTGGGGTTTAAGATGGGTGTCCGAGACACATGTGTCGTGGAATTTTACATTTCAGGAACAGTGGGGGTTTAAGATGGGTGTCAGTCACATGTGTCGTGAAATTTTACCTTTCAGGAACAGTGGGGTTTAAGATGGGTGTCAGTCACATGTGTCGTGGAATTTTATCTTTCAGGAACAGTGGGGTTTAAGATGGGTGTCCGAGACACATGTGTCGTGGAATGTTTACCTTTCAGGATCATTGGGGGTTTAAGCTGCATTACATTTGTTTTCATAACCCTCGGTTTCCGTTTATGTCATATTGTAGCTTCCTCGATCCTCCAGGGTTATACTCACTTACGCTCTCTGCACAAGAGACTCTGTTACTCCTGAAGTATCGACAATGACTCTGTAGGAACTTGACGATATGTTTTTTTTATGTTGTTGCTCTGTAGAGATAACTTGTACTGGTGTACATGGAACAATACGTTTTATATCCAATAATACATAATTTCTTAACAGTAATTTTCTGTCTCAATTACTAAAATCTAACCAAATGACAAGAGTAAAATATTTGTTAGGAATTGCACCCAACTAGCTAATATAGCTTCACTTTTTATTATATTTGGTTTACTAATTATTTTAAAACTAGATTCCATACATAATATCGATTCTGATATTTTTTCTTTGTCATATCAAAAGAAAATGAAAACATACACCATACAAAGAAGAAATGGTCGGAAACTCAAATGCAATGGGAAAAGATTTACAGGAACCGAGTAGGCACCATCAAACCCCTCAACCGAGACAAATCTAGTAACCCTTGTACTGTAACACCGATCATGAGGTCTTCTGTAAAATCCTGGACAGAATGTCAGTCACGGGTGTTTTGATAACTGTGGTAGTGGTAGACACTGCAATAACACAGCAGGACATTTTTAAACGGCTTCTCCACTAGACTAGGGATCAACCGGTAAGTAGTTAACTATACATATACAACTATATATTATTTTGCAGATATTGAAGCTTGGTAAGGCCTCGGGTGAGGATGGAATCAGTCATCATATGCTACGAAACACATCAGAAACCGTTTGTGTTCCCCTTGAAATACTTTTTAATATGTCTTTATCGTCAGGTGTTTACCCAAACACTTGGAAAACAGCCAAAGTTATGCATCTGTTTAAAACCGGTAACAGGCATTCTCCCTCTAATTACAGACCAATACTTTATTATCTTCAGTTGGCAAAGTGTTTGAGAGAGTAATTTTCAAATACTTGCCTAATTATTTTATTGAAACTCATTTTTTTTATAAGTATCAGTTTGTTATTTTTGCCTGGTCATTCTACTGTATATTAGTATATATCAACTCATTGAAATTTATCATAACATCTGTATTGCTCTAGAGGTAAAAAAAAAACCATGTATGTATGGTATTCTGTGATATTTCTAAGGCTTTTGATCGGGTTTGATGATTAAGTAAAAATCCTATTGAATTTCAAGAGAATGTTATCAATGGTTGGGAAATTACCTATTTCAGAGGCACCAGAAAGTCTTTTTGAATAATACTTACTCCCACTTAGGTTTCATTGAAGCAGGTGTTCCTCAGGGTTCGATTCTTGGGCCTCTTTTGTTTCTTATCTGTGTTAATGATATTGCTGATGTTTTTGAGTCAACCGCTCGTCTTTTTGCAGACGATACTTCTTTGTTAAAATAATCCTCCTCGTATCTAGAAATCCAAACGGTTCTGAATAGAGATCTCGAATCTCTTAATGCATGGTCCCAAACTTGGTTAGTAACATTCTATCCAGAATAAACTGAAGTATTTTTTGTTTCAAACTCGGTTGAAATTAATGAAGATTTAGAATTAGAATTTAATGGCGAATTTTTAAATTTTTCTGATCATCATTAACATTTAGGTGTTACTTTTAATTCAAGGGCAAAATGGGGGGGATCATATTTGTGCAATATATACTTCAGTTATGAAAAAAGTCAACGTCTTACGTAGACTAAAATACTTATTGAATCGAGATAATCTTTTAAAGATTTATAAATCCTTAATTTTATTGGTTTTAAAATATATGCTTGTGAATTGTGGGATGGTTGTACAACTTATGAAACAGAAATGTTAGAGAAAGCCCAAAGAGAAGCTATTCGTATAATCACTGGACTTCCTTCTGATGCCAGAAGCGAAGATTTACCTTTTGAATCTGGTCTAGAAACTCTTTCGAATCGATTTAACTCCGGACTATTTTAATGATCTATTGCCGTCTACCGTTGCAGAAAATAACCGTTACACCCTTAGAAATAATAATGATTATAGATTTCTTCCTTTCAGGATTTCTCTAACAAATTCATCTTTTATACCTTCAACTCTTCGCAGTTGGAATTCATTGGACCTTTCAGTACGATCATTGACTTCTTTTAAAAACTCGTTAACTTCAAACGTACTATCTCCTCCGGTTTCAGTGAACGTAAATTAAACATTTTGCATACAAACCTTAGATATCAGTGAAGTCCACTTAAATATGATCTTTATAGGGTATAGTCCAGTTTGTAATTGTGGCCATCCCTGTGAAATTGCCTTTCACCTTTTTTGCGAGTGTTTACTTTTTAACGACGAAAGACGCATCCTGTTCCAAAATCTGAATGTATGTTGATTTTGATTTAGAATTACTTTTGTTTGGTAATACTCAACTTTCGGTAGAAATCAATACAAAAGTGTTTAGACAAGTGCATCATTACATCAAATCGAGCAATAGGTTTTGATAATTATAGTATCATTCCTTATTTTTATTTATATGTGAACGTTGTAATATATGTTTATGAAATTGCATTTCATCATTTTGCCAGATTACTTTGTTACATTGATCTTGTTCATTATAAAATTACTATACCGGGCTACATGTCATGAGATTTTTCATAATTTATAATTTATTTAAATGCGGATCCTTTTCACATTTTACACGATTTCTTTTCTAGGACCCCTTAATGTTAATGTTATCATGTTAAACGTCTTGTATGCCATCTGTCAGTATGACGTATATAAAGTGAAAATTGAGCTGTTTTTGTAAGTTCTAGCTTTCATAAGGGCTGTTGTTTTGATGTCTCCTCTGCTCTAGTCGATTTTTACGTATAGGTTTCGATTTCATATAATATGCGGTAAATTCTTGTAGCCTTATTTCGTATAGGTTATCAAACATTCAGACAACTCAAGTTTATTATTGTGGTTTCTGGTTTCCCACTTTAAGTCCTTGTTATCTGCACAATAAACAACCAATAAAAACAAACTAACAAGGTAATTTGTTTAATGATTTAATATTCTTTTAAATATATATATACTTAACTTTGTTCTCCCCCATCCCACCCCGTGGACCATCCCCGTAGACCATCCCCGGCAAAATAACAAAAACTCAAATTTCATTGTAACAGCACAAAGAATAGTTCAATAACGATTAAAACGACACATTTGCGGACGAACGGTTATAATGTTACAATTTCCCTGTAATGACATATAACATTATGTCTATTAAACAAAGTCTATATTGCAACAAACGTATGTCAGATAAGGTTTCCAATTAAATACACAACATTTTGGCAGTTTTATCTTCGGTCATAAACCCAATAACAAAATATAATCATACATGCTTATATATTTTTTTTCTGACTGTAGAGATGAATTTTATGCATCCAGAAACTGCTTATTAAGGCGAGAGTCAGAAACAGGAAAACACAGAAAAGCTTCTCGCGTCATTTCATATTACGGTCAGTTCCATCAAAAGCCGAAATACTCTCATGAGAATACCTGTCTCATAGCATGTCAGACATGTTACAACCCTCATGGTAAAAAACCTTTGTAGTGATATGTTTGTGTTGTGTGTTTGAGTGGTTTTACGTCTGCTTTACCTAGTAGTTCGGTTATCCAGCAGACAAACCCAAGTTTGAGTATTGCACTATACCTGATAACTACATAAATAACAACCAACATTTAGGTCATTATGATGAGGAGACAACTTCTAGTCATACACAGGATGAATACAAGAACTAGGACCATCGGGAGTCACGGTAGATCCTGGTTAATCTAATGTGTAGATCCTGGTTAATCTAATGTGTACATTACTATAAAAGTAAAGTGAAACGGTTCGCGTTGTGATTCTTAGGGTTAAACTGACAGAGGAGAGGATTTTTTGGCATTCACAATATTTCTGAAATCTGTATGTATTCATTTATATGTCATCTAAAAATAAATCTTTGCGTGTGGATATCTTGGAGCGTCAATCCAAAAAACGCTAACATTTCCTAACCGCGAAAATTACCACTTTTAGAGTATGCCAACACTGGTGAGTATCTATTCAGATATTTGTTCACGATTACACCTAACAAGTTCATACACAAATCCAGATATTTCTTCAGAGAACATAGCTAAGTAATATCAAACAGGTAAACACCATATTTACTTGGTTTAACAGCTCCAATGTCCCAAACACAGAAACGTTTTTGATCATAATACATGTGTAACAATTCTTGTAGGATTGCATTGGAAATCTTATGATCTTTAAAACAACAACTTCTTAATGAATTTCTTGTGTTCAAAACAAAGCAAAAACACACATACGAATGCTTACAGACTGTTAATGCTGTATCACTTACATCATACATACCTAATGAAGTAAAAATAACATAACTTCATTATCTTACTCACTTTGATAGGTCTAAAAGTCATACAGTTGAATTGCAACATTTACCCTTGAAGGTAACCTATTTCTAGAGGAAAATAAGTTCTACCCAGGAAAATATTAATGAAAGTATTTAAACAGAGACCTTATTTCAGTAAATAAAATATGTTATTTATTTAATCACTTTCTTTCCAGGATTGTACTTCCTGATAATTTTAATTTGCGAAAGTAACAATAACGGACATATTTAAGGATGTATGCTACCTTAAACCTTATACAATAAACTGTTAAATGAGTACGAGTTATCTCCCTTTAAACGGTTTAAATTGTCATTTCATTAAGTATATATTAGACTTACGTGAGCATTACCTACACACATTCTTGTGCGTCATCCAGTCCATATTTTACAACTCGTAACAGGGACGTCTTACATGTTTCTTTCAGTGGAACTCTTTAACAAAAGCAGCTTGTTACAGTAAGGTAGCATACAGCCTTAACTCAAGAATATATAATGTATATACCAGGTACTAGTATATATATCAATATTGTAGTACCGTAACTTATGTATAGATATCATATATAGATATCATATACATGTACTATATATATCTTTAACCCATGATTTTATATATTTAGATATTTTATACTAAAAAAAAAAAAAATGTAGCTTGTACATCTTTAAAGTGTTTTCCATAGCATTCATGCAACCTTTTGTGTATCCATTAAGCACTTACAGTATAAATGTATTTACTGCTGTGTTAGTATTCAAATATTTTGTTACTTTCTCTATAAATAAGTCTTTTATCCAAGCTTGTTAGGGTAGTTGTCAGTCGGTCAGTTGTATAGACAACTCCCAGCACTTAGCACCAATAACGTCCTCAGTTTCATTATCAGCACAGCAAGTCTGTCCCTCTACATTGGAGGGGGTGGGGGCGGAGGTGGTGGTGGTGGTGGTGGTGGTGGAGGGGNGGAGCTCCAGATGGAGGTGGCGGTGCTGTTCCTGTGGCTCCAGAATCTGGTGTTGCAGCTGAAAAGATATATACATAATAATGAATATGAGAATTTAAGGACAGATATATTCAACTTGTATCAATAATGAAATACATACAATTCAAACAGTACAGAACATCATTTATTATTGAGGTAAACACAACAGACAAATTTGAATGTAGTATAATGTTCAAGTTCTATATGAAAAGTAAGTTTTCATGTATGTACATATAAGTATGTATCACAAGACTTCATAATGACTTCTACGAAAAATATTTCATTTTATCAACATTATGTATTTTATTTCCAAAGCCGCTTTTATGGTCCAGTGACCTTGTGGTAACAGTACTTTTATGGTACAGTGACCTTGTGGTAACAGTACTTTTATGGTCCAGTGACCTGGTGGTAACAGTGCTTTTATGGTCCAGTGACCTTGTTGTAATTTTTTGGTTTGTTTTGAGTTTCCAGGCCAAGCAGATTTCGATTGAGTATATGATAAGAATCTCAAACATGCTCCAAATACATCTAAATTCCATGAAGCTAGTTGAAGCTTATGACATAAAAATATTCTGAAATAGGAACTTCAGACCAGGTGAGAAAATAATCCATTACAATTTGTATATGTTCTCGGTTTATATGAAAATAACATTACAACCTGATGGTAACACTAAGAAAAGAAAGTAGTCAATAGTAAAGAAGAATTTAAACATCAGACTATATAATTGTAGGTAGCCTGAGCCTCTATATTAAACAACCAAACCTAGAACAAGCTTACAATCACCACAGGAAAACACAATTTGATACAATAGTTGATTTGATGTTTTGGAACATTAATATTGTATACATCGCTAAAACATCTTTTTTACTCTGTTAGGAATCTCCTCTTCAAAGAGGAGATCCCAGAATGATAGCAATCGTCAGATTCTTCATAACTTCTATATAAGTTTTATCTTTTCTTTTCTCTTATCTGTTGGACAATAAAAGCATTATGTGGTAACTATTGATTAATACTGCATACTTCTGTGTCAGACATTGTCATACTGACATAGTAAAGTGTTATAAAAGAGACTTCTCCTGGCAGAAAATATTTTTTTCTTCTGACCATGCAACTTGAATCTCAAAATAAAATATGCAAAAGTAGGGAACTGTTGGAATCTAACTATGAAATCTGGGAAAGATCTGTCAAATATTTCCTGAGAAATAGCGATAACAAACTTTTAATTTCAAAATCCTAGTTGGCCACCTGCAAGCTAAATTGTTCTTCAAATAGTTCCCAAAGTTAAACATGCAAAACTAAGGACTAAGGGGAATGGCGTATTAAGTTTGAGAAAGATCTATCCAGAATTTCTTGAGAAATAGCTATATGTAACAAACTGAACTGTCAAAATCAATTATGGCTGCCTGGGAAGTTAAGGTGTTAGGTGTTCAAAATTAAAAATTACTGATTAAGTGAAATTTGAGAAAGATGCATCAATAATTTCAAGTCCCCCCCCCCCCATTCTCATAATGGTAACAACAAAGAGAGTAAGTTCAGTGGAAGTTCTGCCTGCCTCTCATTTTATTGGCTAGGTAATTCCTTTGAGGAAGTTACAGAAACTGCTCAGAGAGAAAATCTCCAAGGGTGTTTTAGTGTTTGACTAACACACGGCTGATGGAGGACTAGCTCCCTGGACAGAAAAGTTATGGAAAAACAGGGATATAGTTAATCTTATGAGTAATTTTGAACAGAGATATATCAAAGCAAAATAACACAAATATCTGTGAATTATGGCTTGTAAAAGCACAAAAGATAACCACAACACCAAGAGCATTTTAGTAAAATACGCAGAAGTGCACTAAATGATTAACATTTCCATGTTATCTAACAGTTGTTTACAAACATATTTTTATATGATATGTAATAGCATGCATGATAGAACAGTAATCACAGCTTTAAAACTACATTGTACCCTCACAATAGATGTCAGGTATTACACTAAACAAGCATGCATAGGATATATAGAAATAACTACATTATCCCTCTAAAATAGACGCCAGGCCTACATACACAAGCAGAAATAGAATATAGATATATAACTGTTATATGATCATAGTAAGCACAAGTTAATAACAAGCTATATAGATAAATTATACAACACCAACGGAGAAAGCCTTACGGTGAAATTATCCTCAGTTGTTTCATGATGCTAAACAAAATAGATAAATGCTGTTACTCTATCTTATCAAAATTGTATACACATACACTCTCCAATCTTAAAAACTAGGAATGAAAACAAAATTTCCAAACGTAATTAGCAAAACTCATTTATCATATAAAAATATCTTTTACTCCTGCAAAGAATATAGGATTACCAATGTAACACAATTTTATATCTAAGTACACTACTGCTGGGATCTGGTGCAGTGCCGTATTGTAAGGACATCCTCATGCATGACCAGGCCACCTGCTAACACACAGCAAAGTGAATTGTCCATCAACCTCAAAAGCCTCGACTAAATGAGCCCATGCTTATGACTGAAACCAGACAGCTAAACATTATCTCTTTAATTGAAATCAGCGTATCATTTCATTATGCATAACTCATAAAGCACTATAGCACTTTCAGGAGGGGCAACATCAACGTTGGGTAAATAGTTGTATGATCAAGGATGTTGATGTGAGATAATGGAAGTGGGACTGTCTGAAGGGTAGTGTATTACGGATGTTGATGTGAGATAATGGAAGTGGGAATGTCTGAAGGGTAGGGTATTTATACAATCAGAGACAAGGATGTTGATGTGAGATAATGGAAGTGGGACTGTCTGATGGGTAGGATATTTATACAATCAGAGACAAGGATGTTGATGTGAGATAATGGAAGTGGGCCTGTCTGCAGGGAAGGGTATGTATACAATCAGAGACAAAGATGTTGATGTCAGATAATGGAAGGGGGAACGTCTGAAGGGTAGGGTATTTATACAATCCGAGACAAGGATGTTGATGTGAGATAATGGAAGGGGGACTGTCTGAAGGGTAGGGTATTTATTCAATCAGAGATAAGGATATTGATGTGAGATAATGGAAGTGGGACTGTCTGAAGGGTAGGGAATTTATACAATCAGAGACAAGGATGTTGATGTAAGATAATGGAAGTGGGAACGTCTGAAGCGTAGGGTATTTATACAATCAAAGACAAGGATGTTGATGTGAGATAATGGAGGTGGGAACGTCTGAAGGGTAGGGTATTTATACAATTAGAGACAAGTATGTTGATGTGAGATAATGGAAGTGGGCCTGTCTGCAGGGAAGGGTATGTATACAATCAGAGACAAAGATGTTGATGTGAGATAATGGAAGTGGTACTGTCTGAAGGGTAGGGTATTTATACAATTAGAGACAAGTATGTTGATGTGAGATAATGGAAGTGGGAATGTCTGAAGGGTAGGGTATTTATACAATCAAAGACAAGGATGTTGATGTGAGATAATGGCAGTGGGACTGTCTGACGGGGAGGGAATTTATACAATCAGAGACAAAGATGTTGATGTGAGATAATGGAAGTGGGCCTGTCTGCAGGGAAGGGTATGTATACAATCAGAGACAAAGATGTTGATGTGAGATAATGGAAGTGGTACTGTCTGAAGGGTAGGGTATTTATACAATTAGAGACAAGTATGTTGATGTGAGATAATGGAAGTGGGCCTGTCTGCAGGGAAGGGTATGTATACAATCAGAGACAAAGATGTTGATGTCAGATAATGGAAGGGGGAACGTCTGAAGGGTAGGGTATTTATACAATCAGCGACAAGGATGTTGATGTGAGATAATGGCAGTGGGACTGTCTGACGGGGAGGGAATTTATACAATCAGAGACAAGGATGTTGATGTGAGCTAATGGAAGTGGGACTGTCTGAAGGGTATGGTATTAATACAATCAGAGACAAGGATGTTGACGTGAGATAATGGAAGTGGGACTGTCTGATGGGTAGGATATTTATACAATCAGAGACAAGGATGTTGATGGGAGATAATGGAAGTGGGACTGTCTGAAGGGCAGGGAATTTATACAATCAGAGACAAGGATGTTGATGGGAGATAATGGAAGTGGGACTGTCTGAAGGGCAGGGAATTTATACAATCAGAGACAAGGATGTTGATGGGAGATAATGGAAGTGGGACTGTCTGAAGGGGAGGGTATTTATACAATCAGAGACAAGGTTGTTAATGTCAGATGATGGAAGTGGGAACGTCTGAAGGGGAGGTTATTTATACAATCAGAGACAAGGATGTTGATGTGAGCTAATGGAAGTGGGACTGTCTGAAGGGTATGGTATTAATACAATCAGAGACAAGGATGTTGACGTGAGATAATGGAAGTGGGACTGTCTGAAGGGAAGGGTATTTATACAATCAGAGACAAAGATGTTGATGTGAGATAATGGAAGTGGGACCGTCTGAAGGGTAGGGTATTAATACAATCAGAGACAAGGATGTTGATGGGAGATAATGGAAGTGGGACTGTCTGAAGGGTATGGTATTAATACAATCAGAGACAAGGATGTTGATGTAAGATAATGGAAGTGGGAACGTCTGAAGGGTAGGGCATTTATACAATCAGAGACAAAGATGTTGATGTCAGATAATGGAAGTGGGAACGTCTGAAGGGTCGGGTATTTATACAATCAGAGACAAGGAGGTCAAACAATCAAAAGCATCATTTGTGTTGGGATTTGTGTATGATTTCCAGAAAATGAAGCTGATAGATTTACAAACCTGGTTGGGCTGAAGCTGTTCCATCAGTCTGACCTGCCTTCCCAGCTTCTGTAGATGCAAACATACAGGGGTAAAACAATGATCTCCTAATCTCAGTTAGATGATGAATTTCATCTGTGACCTTTACTAATTACTGTTAATTGTAAAAGTTATGCAAATAATTATATCTGACAACAACAATGCATTTGACCTCTGACCCTAGTTTAGCCTTCACCTCCTATATCTGTAAACAATATTGAGTTTGACCTCTGACCCTTTAGCTTGGCCTTCACCTCCTTTATAAACTGTCAATAACACCGAGTATGACCTCTGTCCCTAAAGTTATCAATGACATCAGTTTTGACCTTTAACCCTTTTACCTTTGTCTTTTTCTTCATTTTCCTCTGCAGCTGTCTGGTCAGCACGGAAGAAAACTCTGGCACTGCTCAGGGAATAGTACAGCAGTTCATACTCCTGTCCAAGTCAAATCAACTTATTTTACACCATATTGAAGAGAGAATTAATTACTTCTAATTTCAAAATATTTTTATATGATTATGCTTTGCTACATGTAGATCTCTTCATTCTACATCAAGTAAATTATGATTTTATTCTCACATTGATGAACTCCTATACTACAGAAAAGTCTTGGCTACAACTATCGACAGTTGACCAAGTATTCAGTGTGATGTGACATTGGTTACTTGTAATGTCCTATAAAACCTCCATTGTGGCTGATCACACCTATGGGAAACATCATTTTACATTTTATTAGTTGGGTAAATGATTTTATACTATCTAAGCAGAATGTACGCAAGACTGTGTTTCTGTCTATCTGTTTCCGACATAACAGACTGAGTCTATAGCTGTGTATTGGACACACATATTAGATGCTTTAGGGAGATAACTATATGAGATTTACCTGCTGACATCCGTCCAGTCTTTTGACAGTAAGAGACATGGTTTGTTGTAGTTTTTCGTCAGGTCGTGTAGACATTGACTGCGTTTGCTTCCCTACTTTGTCCTTTAAAACAAGTTGGTATAAAATCTTAGCTTCCTCAATGAAAAACACAGTAAAAAAAATGTCATTAAAATTATTGACAATTTCAATAAATTTTCCCATGAGCATTTACATTAAAAATTAATTCTAAGATCACAGAAATAACCTGATAAAGAACAAAAAAGTATTTTCAGAGATTTCCGAGGAGTTACTAATTTTTTATAAATCTTTTTGGAGTAAGTAGGTTTTATCTGACTTTCACAGACCTTTTCTGCTCTGTACCTATCCCTGACAGACTGGAACCAGTGGAGGGAGTCAAACTCGTGGTACTGGTCCAGCAGCTTGAGGATGTACGCCACACCTAAAAGGATAGACAGAGACTTGTGTATAAAAGACAGGACTTTTAAGGCAACAGAAGGTAACATCAACAAGCATTCTCTGATAGGCCAATAATACACATATTGTCAAATGGATCGAAAGTCAGCAATATCCATTTTTAGTATGCACTTGATAATTTCTTACAATCCCATTGGTCGGAATCTTTACACATGATAAGTTCTCAGAAATTCATGTATGCAAGTCTTCAGGTATATCAATTTCTAAATATAGGGAATCCAAAAGACAAACATTTTACAGACTTTGGTGATGTTAAGTATGATGCGACATTTACCTGAAAAGGTGATTTTGACCTCAGATTCACCTCGGTCAATATCACTTTTTCAGGTTCATATCACATCACATTCACCTCCACAAAAGTCCATTGTTGTACAGGTTTTTTTTTGTAAATTTCAGTACAAGCCATGAGAACTCACAGGCGTGTCACAATAACTTTAGAAATGTCACAATAACCTCACAGCAATTTTCTCCTTAATTGTTAATTCTTACTCATACAATTACATATTAACTAACCACCACTTACAAGTTAAGTAATCACCACATACAAGTTAACTAATAACCACTTACAAGTTAACTAATCACAACATACTAGTTAACTAACCACCACTTACAAATTAAGTAATCACCACTTACAAGTTAACTAATCACCACAGACATATTAACTAATTACATCATACCAGTTAACTGATCACCACATACAAGTTAACTACATACAAGAACCCTTAAAAGGCTCATTACTTTATCTGTTAACATTTAAACCTCCTGAGAGATTGAAAACTCTATCTTCTTATTTCAAAAAGATTGTTAACGTCTATTTAACAAGTGTTTGTTTAGACTGAATTTTTATTTCGGTTTAAATGTCCACTTGTGTCAGTTAAAGTCATCAGATTAACAAACGTTACCCATTGCAAATCCATCATCAGTAAAGGCCGCTCCCACTTTGTTCTTACGACTCATCTTCTCCTTACAGCTGATAGAATGGTCTACGAAGTTTAGAATCTTTAAATAAAGGGTTACAATAAAGTGTATTAAACATCATTATTTACAACATCTTATAAGTCTCATTGATATTTATAGAAATACAAACTAGAAATGAATCATAGAAATACATTGTTATGATATTGGACAGTGGTATTAATACTATCAACTTTAAATATTACAAAGAAATTTTGTATTACAACTTAATTACGAATCAGTATTGAGCTGTACTGTCACCACTAAAGTAAAATTCAGTCGTGAAGATGAACTTAAATTGTTTTATGGGAGGTATTTACCAGCGGTGGAAGTATCACAAAGAAGTTGCGTAAATGCATGTTCTTGGGATCTCTGAATTCTGGGGCAAACACATCCACGAGGAGCTGTCGGTTAAAAGAATAAAGTGAAAGTCACAATATTTTGTACATCTACCCATCTACAGGTTTACTTCCTGTTCTAGAGATACACATTTAAATATATACGTTACGTTACACAATATACCTTTAATTTGTGTTAGAGTTATCTATCTTACTACACAAGACAAGTCTCCTGGGTATAAAGGGAGATTCCCAACTTTCTTCCTCATTGAGACCTCTGAAATCTAACATATTGCTTTCATCTTACAGTACTCTATCTTTGTCTATAGCTCTACAGATTAGCCATTAAAATAGACTGACCTTGAAATATTCTGTTCCTTCTGCAAAATTCCTTGCCAAATTTCCAACAACATTGTCAAGATTTCTAAAATAAATAATTAAGTAATGAATAAGTCAAAAAAATATTTATATTTCAAAAGCTAACGATCACTATAAACTATAAGTAACAAAAAGCTCCATGTAAAAGAAGTTAGCGTTAAATCTGAACTTAAAAGTTATCTTTGACAAGAATCTCTGTTGAAAATAATAACAACTATAAAATCTCGAAAAGACATGAATGCCTCACTCCTTTTATGCAAATCAGTGTCATTGAATGAAAAATCTATATATATATCAGTTACAATGGTGACCTTGGGTTGACCTTGTATCCCTTAAAAAACACTCATTCAATGTATTCTCATACCTGACTTTATATAAAGTTCGATCAAAATCTTTTAAAGAGATGAAGCGGCTGAAGTCAAGTCATTGCATTGGTTTAGTTTTCTATGATAAGTAAGGGTGACCTTGGCCTTAACCTCTGAACACTGAAGTACCATCTCATTCAAGGTTTCCTGTTCTATAACATTATAGGTTTTCTTTGAAAGTATTTGAACAGAACTGAAATAATAATAGGAAAATGTAAGCTTTTAAACTTGGCTTTTCTCTCAATAGTGACACCGACACGTACTTGGCGGCAACCTGACATTCCTGTGACAGTCCCTCCTCCTTACAAAGTTCCTCAAAGTTGACGATGTCCTCCAGGTCAGGGATGAACCTGATAGCATTACTACAGCAGTGGAGGCCACCAGACCTGATCATCCGTATGTAGCCCATCGCATTGCCTGGAGTCAGGAATGAAACAGGTTAATTTATAATAAAGACAAGAGGCCCATGGGCCTTAACGGTAAACTGATTTCTGATACTTAAACTTATGTATTCTGCGCACCCCCCACTTTGGGCATTAAATTTCTCAAAAACAAGGAAAATGAAGAAATTTTAGCACACTGACTCCTTTGGGCCCCACCCTACACCCCTTGGGGGTAGGGCTGGCTCAAAATTTTCAAAGTATCAAACTCAACTCGGGGTTCTAATTCCAATCAAGTTATCAACATGTAATATCCAAAGTATCATTTGCCAAAATAAACCATAATAAATTTTGCCAGACCCTAGGGTCATAAAATTCACAATTTTGGTAGAGCACCTTAAAACCCTTCCATCTATGAAGAGTGTTTGATTCTACCATATCTGGGTCTTTGAGAAGAAGCTTTTTGAAATTTCAGTCAATTCGACCCTTTTTGGCCCCACCCATCAGCCACGGGGAGTCAGTCAGGGTTGATATTTGCATACCATCAAACTGCTATCCAATACTGATAATGCTTACCCAAATTGAATTACTTCCAATGGAAATTAAACAAATGTTGGTCCAAAATGTGATTTCCCTATATAAACTATTGTAAAGTTTACCCCCTCCCCAGGGGAAAACGTGAGACCCAAGGGTCATGAAATTCACAATTTTGATAAAGCACCTTAAAACTCTTCCATCTTTGAAGAGTATTTGATTCTACCATATCTGGATCTTGAGAAGATTTTTGAAATTTTAGTCAATTTGACCCTTTTTTGCCCTGCCTCTCAGGCCCCTGGGGGCTGGGGACCATATAATTCACACTTTTGGTTGACCTTTGGCAATGGAAGGTTTCTGCAAAATGTCATTGAAATTGGTTCAGGGGTTTTGGAGAAGAAGTTGAAAATGTAAATTGTTTACGGACAGACAACGCATGCTGCACGCCGCACAACGACGGACACAATAATTAGGTTATAGGTTCTTTCTTATGCATTATTGTAGTGTTCTTTTAAAATCCAATGAAGGAAATATAGGAACAGCAGAAGAAATACTCAATTTATATATTACAGACATCAATTAAATTTTTACATTTGAAATAATGATTTTATAAAAAGCTACTAAGATTACATGGCTTTAATAGATATGACAGATTAAAGGTTTAAAGGTGGTCAGCTTCTGAACCATTACGTGGCAGTTAAGTAATTATGATTTTAGAAATAAACAAATAGGTAACACCTGGAGATGTGCTCAGAGGGAGATCTACATCTGGGGATGTTTTAGAAGTTGACACCTATCAATGATACATATAGAAACCCTTTGTGTCTTTCCCCACTAAATCAGCCCCTCTTACCTATCTGACTGATAGTGACCCGGAATTGGTCCAGGTAACTGTCTCCGTCTGGTAACAGGCCCAGCTTCCGTATCCCTTTGTTAAACTTATCAGCCTTTTCAAATGGATACTGAAACCAAACAACAACATATTTGTTTTACGAGCTACATCACTAATACATTGTACTATACAATCAGTAGCAGGAGTGGATCATTACAGAGGTTTTTGAATTTTAAGCTTTCCATTGCAAGCTGAGTTTTGCTTCAGAAATTCAAACCTTGCTAAGAGAATGACTGACAGTTTTACAGTTTTAAATCATCATACCTTTTGATCTGTTTGCATGTGATGTTCTTTAAAATATTTCCAGTCCTGAAAGAAAAGAGAAAAATGTATAACAATACATTCAGAGAGTTCAACATGGAAAATGTATAACAATACATTCAGAGAGTTCAACATGGAAAATGTATAACAATACATTCAGAGAGTTCAACATGGAAAATGTATAACAATACATTCAGAGAGTTCAACATGGAAAATGTATAACAATACATTCAGAGAGTTCAACATGGAAAATGTATAACAATACATTCAGAGAGTTCAACATGGAAAATGTATAACAATACATTCAGAGAGTTCAACATGGAAAATGTATAACAATACATTCAGAGAGTTCAACATGGAAAATGTATAACAATACATTCAGAGAGTTCAACATGGAAAATGTATAACAATACATTCAGAGAGTTCAACATGGAAAATGTATAACAATACATTCAGAGAGTTCAACATGGAAAATGTATAACAATACATTCAGAGAGTTCAACATGGAAAATGTATAACAATACATTCAGAGAGTTCAACATGGAAAATGTATAACAATACATTCAGAGAGTTCAACATGGAAAATGTATAACAATACATTCAGAGAGTTCAACATGGAAAATGTATAACAATACATTCAGAGAGTTCAACATGGAAAATGTATAACAATACATTCAGAGAGTTCAACATGGAAAATGTATAACAATACATTCAGAGAGTTCAACATGGAAAATGTATAACAATACATTCAGAGAGTTCAACATGGAAAATGTATAACAATACATTCAGAGAGTTCAACATGGAAAATGTATAACAATACATTCAGAGAGTTCAACATGGAAAATGTATAACAATACATTCAGAGAGTTCAACATGGAAAATGTATAACAATACATTCAGAGAGTTTAGCATGGAAAACGTATACAATACATTCAGAGAGTTCAACACGGAAAATGTATAACAATACATTCAGAGAATTCAACATGGAAAATGTATGACAATACATTCAGAGAGTTCAAGATGGAAAATGTATCATAATGGGTGAAGATTGATAAGAAAAACCCAAATATTAATATAAACAATGTCATACTGAGTGGAATCAATATTAACTGTAAACACAAGATACTGGAGGACTGTTATCATGAGACCCTTGATCATATTGGACTTAATGAGCTCATCATTCATGCCCTGCGTCCTATTGAACCTACCTTGATGAGTCTGGACTTAATGTGTTCATCACACATGACCTGCGTCCTGCTGAACCTTCCTTGATGAGTCTGGACTTGATGTGTTCATCATACATGACCTGTGTATGTATAACAATACATTCAGAGGGTTCAACATGGAAAATGTATACAATACATTCAGAGAGTTCAAGATGGAAAATGTATCATAATGGGTGAAGATTGATAAGAAAAACCCAAATATTAATATAAACAATGTCATACTGAGTGGAATCAATATTAACTGTAAACACAAGATACTGGAGGACTGTTATCATGAGAACCTTGATCATATTGGACTTAATGAGCTCATCATTCATGCCCTGCGTCCTATTGAACCTACCTTGATGAGTCTGGTCTTTATGTGATCATAATACATGACCTGCTTCCTGCTGAACCTACCTTGATTAGTCTGGACTTGATGTGTTCATCAAGATTGATAAGAAAAACCCAAATATTAATATAAACAATGTCATACTGAGCGGAATCAATATTAACTGTAAACACAAGATACTGGAGGACTGTTATCATGAGACCCTTGATCATATTGGACTTAATGAGCTCATCATTCATGCCCTGCGTCCTATTGAACCTACCTTGATGAGTCTGGTCTTTATGTGATCATAATACATGACCTGCTTCCTGCTGAACCTACCTTGATTAGTCTGGACTTGATGTGTTCATCATACATGACCTGCGTCCTGCTGAACCTTCCTTGATGAGTCTGGACTTGATGTGTTCATCATACATGACCTGCGTCCTGCTGAACCTACCTGGTCTTTATGTGATCATCATACTCAGAGAGTTCAACATGGAAAACGAATACAATACATTCAGAGAGTTCAACGTGGAAAATGTATAACAATACATTCCCCCAGTTCAACATGGAAAATATATAACAATACATTCAGAGAGTGCAACATGGAAAACATATAACAATATATTCAGAGAGTTCAACATGGAGAATGTATGACAATACATTCAGAGAGTTCAAGATGGAAAATGTATCATAATGGGTGAAGATTGATAAGAAAAACCCAAATATTAATATAAACAATGTCATACTGAGTGGAATCAATATTAACTGTAAACACAAGATACTGGAGGACTGTTATCATGAGACCCTTGATCATATTGGACTTAATGAGCTCATCATTCATGCCCTGCGTCCTATTGAACCTACCTTGATGAGTCTGGACTTTGTGTGATCATCATACATGACCTGGTTCCTGCTGAACCTCCCTGGATGAGTCTGGACTTAATGTGTTCATCACACATGACCTGCGTCCTGCTGAACCTTCCTTGATGAGTCTGGACTTGATGTGTTCATCAAGATTGATAAGAAAAACCCAAATATTAATATAAACAATGTCATACTGAGTGGAATCAATATTAACTGTAAACACAAGATACTGGAGGACTGTTATCATGAGAACCTTGATCATATTGGACTTAATGAGCTCATCATTCATGCCCTGCGTCCTATTGAACCTACCTTGATGAGTCTGGACTTAATGTGATCATCATACATGACCTGCTTCCTGCTGAACCTACCTTGATAACATGGAAAATATATAACAATACATTCAGAGAGTTCAACATGGAAAATGTATCATAATGGGTTAAGATTGATAAGAAAAACCCAAATATTAATATAAACAATGTCATACTGAGTGGAATCAATATTAACTGTAAACACAAGATACTGGAGGACTGTTATCATGAGAACCTTGATCATATTGGACTTAATGAGCTCATCATTCATGACCTGCGTCCTATTGAACCTACCTTGATGAGTCTGGATTTTATGTGATCATCATACATGACCTGCGACCTGTTGAACCTACCTTGATGAGTCTGGTCTTTATGTGATCATCATACATGCCCTGCTTCCTGCTGAACCTACCTTGATGAGTCTGGACTTTATGTGATCATCATACATGACCTGCGTCCTGTTGAACCTACCTTGATGAGTCTGGTCTTTATGTGATCATCATACATGACCTGGGTCCTGTTGAACCTACCTTGATGAGTCTGGTCTTTATGTGATCATCATACATGACCTGCTTCCTGCTGAACCTACCTTGATGAGTCTGGACTTTATGTGATCATCATACATGACCTGCGTCCTGCTGAACCTATCTTGATGAGTCTGGACTTGATGTGTTCATCATACATGACCTGTGTCCTGCTGAACCTACCTTGACGAGCCTGGACTTTATGTGATCATCATACATGACCTGGGTCCTGCTGAACCTACCTTGATGACTTGATGTGTTCATCATACATGACCTGCGTCCTGCTGAACCTACCTCGATGAGTCTGGACTTTATGTGATCATCATACATGATCTGCGTCCTGCTGAACCTACCTTGATGTGTCTGGACTTGATGTGTTCATCATACATGACCTGCGTCCTGCTGAACTTACCTTGATGAGTCTGGTCTTTATGTGTTCATCATACATGACCTGCGTCCTGCTGAACCTCCCTTGATGTGTCTGGACTTGATGTGATCATCATACATGACCTGAGTCCTGCTGAACCTACCTTAATGAGTCTGGACTTTATGTGATCATCATACATGCCCTGCTTCCTGCTGAACCTACCTTGATGACTTGATGTGTTCATCATACATGATCTGCGTCCTGCTGAACCTACCTTGATGACTTGATGTGTTCATCATACATGGCCTGTGTCCTGCTGAACCTACCTTGATGAGTCTGGACTTTATGTGATCATCATACATGACTTGGGTCCTGCTGAACCCACCTTGATGAGTCTGGACTTGATGTGTTCATCATACATGACCTGCGTCCTACTGAACCTACCTTGATGAGTCTGGACTTAATGTGATCATCATACATGACCTGTGTCCTGCTGAACCTACCTTAATGAGTCTGGACTTTATGTGATCATCATACATGACCTGCGTCCTGCTGAACCTACCTTAATGCGTCTGGACTTAATGTGTTCATCATACATGACCTGCGTCCTGCTGATCCTACCTTGATGAGTCTGGACTTGATGTGTTCATCATACATGACCTGTGTCCTGCTGAACCTACCTTAATGCGTCTTTATGTGATCATCATACATGACCTGCGTCCTGCTGAACCTACCTTGATGAGTCTGGACTTGATGTGTTCATCATACATGAATTGTGAGAAAATGAAAAACTTTTTCCTCAGGAACTGGTAGGTGAAGTTGACCTGGAAATCAATCATATGTATCTTTAAATAGCAGGATATCGAGTTTGTAATATAAAGCAGATATTGTCGCCTTAAAACATGCTTCCACTAATACAAAGGCTTTCCTACAACATTACAATGTAATAATATTAAACATTTAAATATCAAAACAGAATGTTAAAAGTAATACCACAGCTGGGTATTTGAATGTAACTTACTCTAAAGGATGCTTCTAAGAGAACATACCAAATCAACAATGTATATAACTAATGCTATCGAAACGGCATCTCGGAGCTAATTTTATTTTGCTTTCCATAGGTGAGGATAATTTTTGGCTGGAATAGCCACCACTGAGGATTCACATCATTTACTGATGATTCACATCATTAACTGATGATTCACGTCATTTACTGATGATTCACCATATTGATGACTCACCACACTTACTGATGACTCACCACACTTACTGATGACTTACCACACATACTGATAACTCACCACACATACTGATGACTCAGTCACCACACATACTGATGACTTACCATACACACATACTGATGACTCATCACACTTACTAATGACTCCCACACTTACTGATGACTCACAACACTTACTGATGACTCACAACACATACTGATGATTCACCACACATACTGATGACTCACCACACATACTGATGACTCACCACATATACTGATGATTCACCATATTGATGACACACCACACATACTGATGACACACCACACATACTGATGACTCACCATACATACTGATGATTCACCATATTGATGACACACCACAAATACTGATGACTCACCAAACATACTGATAATACACCATATTGATGACACACCACACATACTGATGACACACCACACATACTGATGACACACCACACATACTGATGACACACCATACATACTGAACAACACACTGCCTGTTACTTACTGTTGTGTTCATGATTCCTATGCCGTGTGTCCTGATAGAGTTGGCAATATGGCGGATGTTAATTGTGTTCAGATGTTTGTTGTTGCTGGAGCGTTCCACAAAGATCTGGTTGTTGAGATTATACAGGAACTTGGAGACAAACACATGGATGTTCCTCATTATCTCCAGCACATCAAGACCCTTGGATAGAAAACAAGATCTGTTTAGGGAGTAAGGACAGGAAGTGACAACAGTTATTGAAACAGATTTATATCTGAGATGCTTTATTGTCTTTCCATTTGTTTTGCTCCTCAGTTCCATTGTTTGTCTTCTTGTACTTACTTCTGATTTTATTTTTCTGTGTTGGTGTTGTGGAATACATTTAATATATTTTACTATTTAAGATATTGGACCTGGAATCTGGAATCAGGAGGAACTTAACGACATCTTTCATAAATGAAGAAAAAGTCATTTCATTTCTTTTCTTTAAAACGAGCTCCATACATTCAAACTTACAAAATAGCCATTTAATACACAAGAATCACGGGTGAATAGATCCCTCTCTTAATTTTTCAACTTCTTACGTTTTCTGACAATAGATATTGTGATCTGGGCCCAGTTGTTCAAAAGTTGGTTAGCTTAATCACAGTTTAACAACATTTTTCAACCTTTAATAATTTGTCAATAAACAAGGTAAAATTTTGCATGTAAATTCACTCAACTGAATATTTGATATCTAGAAAGTTGTAATTAGTTCTAAGGTTGAGTCTTAAAGATACACACTCTCCTCGAGTGAAGTATTTTATTTGTGGGCTAGATCAACTCGTTTCTTGGACAACATACTTCAACAAATACGGTACTAATGAATGGATCCTTGAATAAACCAAATTCTTATACATACTGAGTTTACAGAATTATTTTAAAGTTCATGCAGTTAACAAATCCATAGCTCTCCACTGTTACAGACATTGATTACAACTATTTTTTGGTGTTTTTTTAATGTCTTACTAATAGCTATGGTCACTTAAGGATGTGTCCGGTTTTGGTGGTGGAGGAAAGTCGGAATTCCCAGAGAAAAAACACTAACCTTTGGCCAGTACCTGGCGACTGCCCAACGTAGGTCTCGAACCCACGACCCACTGGTGGAGGGCTAGCAGTAGCAGAATGTCAGACGACTTAACCACTTGGCCAACATACTTCAACAAATACGGTACTAATGAATGGATCCTTGAAGCGGCCATACTACTAAAACATGACAGTATCTAGCTCACCTGTTCCAATGTCTGACTAGGTAGATGGGACTCCACCATCGCGAGGCCATATTTCTGTTCAGCCATGTTTTTCATCTCCCCATACGTTTTCCAGTCATGCAGTGCGACTGTGGTCAGGTTGTAGAAGGTCATGTTTAGGTAGTGTTCAACATACCCTGTAACAAATGTACAACATTTTATCACATACCTAGTCACAAATGTACATTTTATCACGTAGCCTACCACAGATGTACAACATTTTATCACATAGCCTGCCACAAATGTACATTTTATCACGTAGCCTGCCACAAATGTACATTTTATCACATACCTAGTCACAAATGTAAAACATTTTATCAAGTATCCTGTCACAACATCAAAAAAGTCTATTATCTTTTTCTGTTAGAACTAGGTTTTTTTTTATTTCAAAAAAAAACATATATTTATTCTACAAGATAAGAATAACACAGATTTGATTAATTCATGAATATTGACTCCAATGAATTTTCACAATGGTTTTAAATATAGCTCATTTCACAAATTCAAATTGATGTGATTCAGTCTTTTGAAATCAAAAGATCAACAAATCTTTCCCCCGATTTAAAAAGTTAAAAGCAATCTTGACTTAACCTTTTACTATGCGTGTACTACACAAGACTGCCTTTGTTCATGTTGAAGTATTAGAACAGTCCATAAAAACTAATATAAAATTGTCTGGACTTACTTTTAATACTGATATACCGATCAAACAGTCGTATAGGATGGACCTTAAGGAGATTGGACAGATCCTTAAAGCCGACCTTAAAAGGGTTGCGGTCATCTAGTTGTAGGTGAGAGTGTATGTGGAGACGAAGGTCAGTCTCAATAACCCGACACAGTGGGTCCAACAGGTGCTGGAAACAATAAAAACCACCATTATACAGGATCCCTCATATCACTAGGCTTAGTACCAACTAACTATTTCTGTTTTAGATTGAACATTCAGGGATGAAGGTTAAACGTTACAGAAAGAAAAGGAAATTAAATTGAAAAAGATTGATTATAAACCAATATTCTTAAAAACATGAAATATTCAGATTTTTCTGATCTAACACAAGTATTTTATTGTTATCAAAATAGAGTAAACACTGAAGAAATCCTCTGACAGCTGAAACAAGTGTATCCCTGGGAGTTACACTTATCATTGATCAAGTTATAAAATAAAATCCAATTTTTCAGTCATATAACATTTTTGCATGATTTAAGAATTTGTTAACAAACATAAAATATATATACTAGGTAAGAGAATTCAAATTTTACCTCTTCCATGTTGCCGTAGATTTCTTTGTTAAATATATCCAACAATTCTTGTGGCGAGGTGAGGTGCCGGACTGCTGTCATTGAGGGGACACAGTCCCTTAGAGCACCGACCATATACTGTACCGGGTATAATAGAAAAATCATCAAAATCTCCCAAGTAAATGTTAGAGTAGTCTACCCTTATTTCCATCTCTGTAGATCTGCTGTTTAAATTCATTGGGAGACAATGTATTTAGTTCTATAACAGGATCTACCAGAATGAAGCCTCAGAAAATATGGCCTGGTGGGCAAGGGTTTGGTTTTGGTTTGTTTGTGTTTTACGTCCTGTTAACAGCTATGGTCATTTAAGGATGTGCCAGGTTTTGGTGGAGAGAAAAGCTGAAGTTCCCAGAGAAAAACCACCGACCTACAGCCAGTACCTGGCGACTGCCTAATATAGGGTCTCGAAACTGTGACCTAGTGGTGGAAAGCTAGTGGTAGCAGAATGTCAGACGCCTTAACCACTTGGCCACCATGGCCCCTGATGGGCAAGGGATCATTAAGCTACTGAAACACATTTAAGAGGAATGAATCAAAGCCATTTGAGTGGTTTTACTACTATATCAGTATGGGTATAACAAGTGCTATAGAAACCATCTTACTCAATAATCCAGGGGTTACACTCACTTTCTCTCTCTGCACCCCTGGAATATGCCATAGCAAATTTTAAGGCTCAGTATGCACAACTTTGTGAATAAGACGAGATCAATAGCTTGATCCTTTGATGTACATCAAAAGAATCTTTCGGTCGCCTCATTGTAAAATTGACTGGCTTTGAAGTCAGGTGTTGCTCCTCTCTAATCTTCAAAAGACAGGTGTCAGTCTAAAGATTGGTCAGGTATTTTAACCTGAGACGAATCAAACAGCTACATTTATGTAACCGTGTACCTTCAGTTTCTCTTTGCCATATTCCAGGGGTGCAAAGAGCGAAAGTGATTTTAACCCCTCGAGTATCAACGATGTCTTTATAATAGCTAACAGAACAATATTCTGTAACATGGAGGCACGGTAGTCTAGTGGTAGGACGCTGGGTTTGTGACCGAAGGGTTGCGTGTTCGAGTCACGGCACAGCACTGTGGTGTACCTTTGAGCAAGATACATTACTCCACTTGTTCCAGTCTACTCAGCTGTAAATGAGTATGTGGATGGGAAGTGTTAGAATTGTTGAATGCTAGCTGTGAGTGCCGAAATGGCAGCTCCAGCTGTATGCTCCCCAGGGAGATGAGAAAGGTATTGGCTGGAAGCAAAAGCCCTATAACCACGGATAATAATTTGTGAACTGCTTTGAGACGACCTACGAACTAGGTTGTGATAAAGCGGTATATTATAATATTGAAATACTAGTGGTACTTACATGGATCCGGTGTGTGTCCACAGCATTTTCTATAATATCCGTCAAATAGATTGGGAAGATTACTCGATGCCAGTACACAAAACTACAGTCACATGCCAACCGTACTCTACAAACATAGAACCGTTGATGTATATAAGTGTTATATAATAAGAATAATGTTATATAAATATGGAACATTCCGTTGATGACACCATTTCATAACAATAATTAATGAAGGTTTAAAAGAATGTCAATAAGAATGTCAGTACAAACGTTATCTCAGAAATTAACATAAGATAATGTTAATATACCTACCTCTCCCTGAGATCACAGATCATCTCCAGCTTCTTCAAGTTAGAGTACAGAATCTGAATCTCATCATCCCTGAATGTTCTCTGAAAATTTGTTTGTTTATTTTGTTTTTGTATTGTTTAATAGCCTATCGACAATGTGAGTCAAATGTCAATGCAATACAACAATTAACAGATGAATTAATAAGATTTAACTGTTTGGATTCTTTCTACACTAATTTATTGTGATACATATAAAGTCTTATTGTAATATACTGGTAATAACAATTAAAAAAATGATAATGTGTCCAAAGTTGATGGAAAACTTGTAAGTAATTTGACTGAAGTACATCAAACGTTATGGAAAGCTAAATTGATGTAATCAAAGTTGACTGACAGTTTTAATGTGCTGAAAATTGATAAAAAAAAATACAATCTAAAGAAGCTGTATTGACAAAAAACAAAAAAACAATAATATCCGACTCACCATCTTTGTTCCTACCGCTAATGACAGTTTGGCAATGAGTCGTCTCTCCTTTGTACCTGTCAGAGTAAATAAAAAGTTCAAGGTCAGCGAGGTCATGATATCTTGTTAGATGTGTTAATGCTGTCAACCTGTGTTTCACTCCTGCGTCGTGTGACATGGTTGACCATTGTTCCCATGGGACGGGTAATAAACTTACAATTGTTCCCATAGGACGGGTAATAAACTTACAATTGTTCAGTTTTAGATTGTAATATTACAGCCTCAAAGTTTTAAATTGATAAAAACGGACTTATGTAGACTTAATGCTGGCTTGAATCACTTGGAGGTCTCTGATCAGACGAAGTAATCCTGGGTATCATTGTGATTAAAGAGAAGCTGACACTTACCAGGACCATTCATGGCAGTCTCAGCGAGGACCAGGGCAGAGAGTACGTCCAATCTCCTCTCGCTATACTTCTTGTCCGACATTATCCTTTTCTAGAAAACAGTTAAAATGACAAAAGGTAGATTTGCATTGAGTAATGCTTTCAAATAGCTATTGCAATAATTTTTCCAATATAAAAAATAACAAAAATAATTCCAATGAAATTCCAAATTCATCCTTCAAAAAACAAAAATCAAGTTACATTTGGAGAGAAATTGATGTGTCTAAAATATTAACCAGCTTTAACAAGTGAGTGTGGCACTAAATCGTGAAGTCTTGTCAAAAACTTTAAACTTTACAGACTGACGGACAGAAAATAGTAAATAAACGACAAAGGCATAAAAATGAGAAATAACACTGCAAAACCGTGCGCTAAACTTTACAGTACTAAAACAAGTGAAATACTGTATTAAAAAAACGAATACCGGGTAAATATTTAAACAATAAAGTTTCTATTTCTACCTACAATGTATATTATAATTAAATCAGAATTAATTCAACAGGAAGCACATCATCCTTATCATTTTTTTATATATATTTCTGTTTATACTGACCTTGGGGGTTCCTATGGAGCTTATGATTATAAGGAAGATTTGTTCATACTGACCTTAGGAGTTCCTATGGAGCTTAGATTAAGGAAGATCTGTTTATACTGACCTTGGCAGTTCCTATGGAGCTTAGATTAAGGAACATGTGTTTATACTGACCTTGGGAGTTCCTATGGAGCTTATGATTATAACGAAGATCTGTTCATACTGACCTTAGGAGGCCCTATGGAGCTTAAATTAAGGAAGATCTGGTTATACTGACCTTGGGAGTTCCTATGGAGGTAAGATTAAGGAAGATCTGTTTATACTGACCTTGGGAGTTCCTATGGAGCTAAGATTAAGGAAGATCTGTTTATACTGACATTGGGAGTTCCTATGGAGCTTAGATTAAGGAAGATCTGTTTATACTGACGTTGGGGAGTTCCTATGGAGCTTATGATTATAAGGAAGATCTGTTCATACTGACCTTAGGAGTCCCTATGGAGCTTAGATTAAGGAAGATCTGTTTATACAGACCTTAGGAGTTCCTATGGAGCTTAGATTAAGGAAGATCTGTTTATACTGACCTTGGGAGTTCCTATGGAGCTTATGATTATAAGGAAGGTCTGTTCATACTGACCTTAGGAGTTCCTATGGAGCTTAAATTAAGGAAGATCTGTTTATACTGACCTTGGGAGTTCCTATGGAGCTTAGATTAAGGAAGATCTGTTTATACTGACCTTGGGAGTTCCTATGGAGCTTATGATTATAAGGAAGATCTGTTCATACTGACCTTGGGAGCTCCTATGGAGCTTAAATTAAGGAAGATCTGTTTATACTGACCTTGCGAGTTCCTACGAAGCTTAGTATTATAAGGAAGATCTGGTTATACTGACCTTGGCAGTTCCTATGAAGCTTAGGATTATAAGGAAGATCTGTTTATACTGACCTTGGCAGTTCCTATGGAGCTGAGGATGAGGAAGCTGAGGTGCTGGATAATGTGGCTGACTGACTCTGCTATCAACATGGTCCTCCGGTGGAATGTGTGCTCAATGGCCTTTCATACAAAATAGTACATATCATTTTACAACAGACTTCATAATTCCACTCCTACAGACATTATATTATATAAAGTGTTAATCAACAGGACATTTCTGTCATCTTCCCATCTTCTATCATTTGTCTACTTTACAAAATGAAAATCAATGACCCTCACAAAAGTTACTGCATTGCAATATTGGGTCATTTTAGGGCAGAGGGAGGTTTATAACTCAGCAATATTTTGGTGGAATATAATCCAAATTATCAAATATTTTCATGAGTCATGAGTTCCAATGAATTTGGTCATAAATAAAATCACGACCTGCACAAAGAATGAGCCTTAATACATATTACACAAGATTACTTTTCATGATCAGGTATGAGAGAACAGGGTAACTAATTATTACTCAGGGTAACTAATTATTGCTCAGGGTAACTAATTATTGCTCAGGGTAACTAATTTTTGCTCAGGGTAACTAATTATTACTCAGGGTAACTAATTATTACTCAGGGTAACTAATTATTGCTCAGGGTAACTAATTATTACTCAGGGTAACTAATTATTTTTCCGTTCGTCAATATAAACAGCAATCAGAGCAGATAAAAACAATGACTAATCATTTGTAATAATTAAAATAAGGCCTATTTAAAAAGTAATTCTAGTAACTGAACAGAAAAATATTCCACCTTTAAAAGTTCTGTAAGACGACAGAGACAAAGAACAGCTGTCTTGGTCATTGGTTTCTGAAGAGCCACATGTAGGTTCATCACTGTGCGTATAAGGTGGTTGATGTTGTAGGCGTACAGAAGACCCTGTTACAGAGAGCAAAACATTTAATATATTACAACTATGGATAATCAGTTAGGTTTAACCTTTTAATATGTCATTCCTGACCCTATTTTTGAAATAAGTATAACCATGTTACTTCAGATCCAGATATTCTATACAGAATGGTAGGTAGAAAACAAATTTTCCGGAAAAAGGCTGACCTTGTTAAGGTCATTTATCAAATAATAAATTTTTTTGCGTAAAAAATCAGGAAACAGCCTGAAAAGTCTGAAACATTTTGTGTAGACCAGCATGGCTTAATAAAGACTGTTAAAACTATTAGAAATTTAAAGAATAATCCTTGCTTTTTTTTTTTGCCATACAGGACACAATCACTGAGAGGAGAAATTACCTGTATAAAGAGGACACAGCGGTTGTTCAGATCCTCCATCAGAGTTTTGGATCGGCCCATCGCCGACTCCATCTCCACCATCCAGGCCGACACACTGGTGTGGAAGTTCTGTACATCTCTGTGGACAACAGTGAGTAAAAGTATATTTATTATAGACAGGCTGGTAACAGGCTGACACACTGGTGTGGAAGTTCTGTACATCTCTGTGGACAACAGTGAGTAAAGGTATATATATTATAGACAGACTGGTAACAGGCCGACACACTGGTGTGGAAGTTCTGTACATCTCTGTGGACAACAGTGAGTAAAGATATATTTATTATAGACAGATGAAGACAAAAATGTGTAAGAAATATCTACCACGGACAGATTGGCAACAGTCACTGACAAAATATATTTCAACTCATCCTTACTCAAAGGAAGCAAGTGATACCACTGTTGAATGGTGTAGAAGTTGAAAAATAATTCACATTGTGAGAACTGTGTTGTATACTGTCATTGATACTACGCACTTCCTTTGATATAATGCATGAACTAAAGGGGCACATTATTTAGAAACTGGCGTAATTTGAAAAACACTGATATTAAAATTAGACTTTAAAGTCTTTCATATTTCTCGTCTCTCTTTGAACTAAATTGGTTTCTGTAGGTAATAATATAAAGGCAAGATTTTGGAAAAGCTGTCTTTGTTTTCTACAATTTGTCAGCTTATTGGTAAGTTTCTATATCATTCATGGGAGATGTGTTCTTGATACAACGAAACATGTTTAGAGGTTTCCAGTCGATCAAGTATAATTGTATATAATGGATTTGCATTTTACCAGTTTAAACATATACGTAGATATACAGATCCTTTCAGTAGTTTGAGAAATAACAATAACAAACTTTACATTCAAAATATAACATGGTTCCCTGGTGGCCATTTTGCTTTTTCCAATCCATCTCAAATTGCAGCCTGCATATCAAGTATAATCATGATCCCTAATGTAGTTTCTAGAGAAACAGCGATAATGAAAATAATTTACTGACGGACTGACTGACTGAATGAATGATGGATGTTGGACCAGAGATGAAATGAACAGTCCACCATCTGATAGACAGAAGATACCCCAGATAGTAGGATGACATGTAGTAATGATGATGGGCTGATAATATCACGTTTCAGACCCTGTCCACTTAACATAGGTAATTATCTACTGGCTGCTCACCTGGAAAGCATTTGGTTACGACTCTGTAGCCAGGTCTGATACTGGGTCTTGACCATCGTCTGAGCCTTTTTGTCCAGAACCTTGGCCATCTGAGGGAGTTTGTTCAGCAGGAACGAAGTAGGGAACCACACAATGTTCCCTAGGAGATGCACACCGGGAACCTATGTGTGACACATCAATAGAAACCATTTATACTAGTTTAGGTGTTATATAGACCCAAATCAAGGTGTACTTGACAGGGGTCTATTTCCTTTATCTATTTTTTGTTACCTTCCATTTTATTTTGGTGTCTCCTTTGCACTCACCAAAACATTAAAAATACTTGTTAAGCTCAGATTTGTAGTGTTATTTTTGTAGTTTTGTAAAGTTCTACCATTTAATGCTGTGCTGATTTCTGATTCTGGTATTGTATATTGTGTATCTCTTTTGGAGTAGATAATATTTTATTCAGTGTCTAATTAACAGATTTTTCCTATCCTGCCCCAAAAACAGAAAAAATAACAAGCCATTTGTTTAAATGTTTAAGTAAGTTTCTCTGATATGTGCATTGATGGTCAAAGCAATAAATATGATATCAATCATATTTGGATTGATATGTCTCGCCTGTGCCCCGCTTTGACGATCAATGCACATATCAGAGAAATTAACTTAAACGCAAAAACATAGTGTTGATAGAGATGCTGACAAAGTCAATGCACCATGAATGGTAGGCCGCATCCAGCATTTGATGCATGGGTTGAGATATAATACCTCAGATGCATCTATGGTCCAAGATTGGTTGGTCTATCACTTATAGTTTCAGAGAAACCTACTTAAACGCAAAAACTCAATGTTGATTGAGATGCTGACAAAGTCAATGGACCATGTAAAATAAAATGGGCTGCATCTAGCCTTTGATGTATGTGTTGAGATGTACTACCAAAGATGCATCTACGGTCCAACTTTGGTTGGTGTAGCACTTATGGTTTCAGTGAACTAACTTAAACGCAAAAACTTAATGTTGACGCCGTCGTCGCCCTTGTTGGAAAAGTAACACCTAAGTCTCTCTACCACTACTTCGTGGCAGCGAAACAACAATGATTATGTATATAATAAACTAAAAACAATATATATGAAACACTAGCTATATACAATAAATATCAAGTATCAAACACTATGATCAGATAGTACATATATATGTATATTATACTGATTACTTTCAGTCATTTAGAACCAGGATTTTAACTGACCTTTTTGTGAATGTCCCGTAGACTTGAAGACTTTCCTGTTATTGACTTTGTAGAACCAGGATATAAATTGACCTTTTTATAAATGTCCCAGAGAGACTTGAAGACTTTCCTGTTATTGACTTTGTAGAACCAGGATATTAACTGACCTTTTTGTAAATGTCCCAGAGAGACTTGAAGACTTTCCTGTCAATGACTCGGAAGATCTGGAAATGTAAGATAAACAGGCCACAGAGTCCAACAAACTTGTACCTCTGGTCCATCTCGTTTGCTTCTCCTGTAAACATGACAGATCATTATACATCTTATAGAATCAATCATTACAATTCTGTTTTCTGCAAAATCAAACTGGAAAACATCTATAAGACATGCATGCTCCTTCAGCACTGTGGTTAACCTATAAATAGCATTAGTGACCTTGGCATTGACCTTTGAACCCTGAAATATGAACTTATCCCAGTTATTCTCATACTTCATACTGCCATAAAATGGCTAGAGCTTCAAAAAATGTGTATCTCTCTTTTTTATGCTTACTTAAAGCTTACATATATATTTTGCAAATTTTGTATGCAAAATGTAGCACGTATTTTTTAAGAGAAGACATATTTTCTACTGTTACCATTTCCAGTAAAAAATAACACTAACTGAACCTGAGATGGTGTCAGTACATTACTCTTTACTTTATAAACTTTAACCTAGTGATTTGTGGTGAAAACTGTACTATCTGGTATGTGAACACAAAGAAATATTACCAATCCTGGACTCCAGATCCATTAAGTATTCTCTGATGTTGATGTTAAACTCGTCTAAGAACACAGAGTTTTTGGTAACAGACACAGTCCTGCTATCAAATGATTGCTCCACACAATTCTACAGCAAAGAAGAGAAAAGGGATGTTGGTCACAGTTTAAAAAAAAAAGTCATCTTCTGTTTTAAATTTTTAACTTCTGAAATATATCAAACTTGTTTCATCTTGATCATTTTCCCTGTAATTTGCCAAAATCCAATTTGAAAATGAAGTTAAAACATCAAAACTAAAATTCAAGTTATTAAAGAGCTTTATGCAGGTTTGTTTTCAAATATTTAAAACTTCTACATACCTGGAATATGAGACCATCCAATAACTCTCCCTCTAACTTCATAATGAGTTTTTCAAACTGTCGTAGTTTGTCCCCAGGAATAGAGAACTTCCCAGGGTCATGATGTACAGACTTAAGCATCCTGACGACATAATAGAATTTGATTTGTTTAGATAAAGCTCAAATCACTTTAACTCATTCACCCCTGAAGACACATTTGAACTCTTCCAATTCAAAGGTTTGAACAGTTCATTATGAAATTTCAGGGGTGAATGAGTTAAGCAAGTAAAAAGAACAAATTAAAATACATCGGAAATCTTACATGAAAATGATTAATAGAATCACAATAATTAGAGCATCAATCTCAGTTTCTACAGTACAATCTGCCCAAACAACCTTGTACTAACAATGAGCTGATTAAAATGTGACATCTTAGGCTGACCAAACTTGAGTAATAAGCTAATAAGTTAATTTGTGGATGGAAAGTCTTACATGTATACAATAAATGATACTTATCTTTTTGTTCTTGAACAAGAAAATCAGTTATAAGTTCACAAACAAACAGAGTTGATAGAAGAAAAGTTTTTAGTTTCTTTGTGTATAGCCATATTTCTTAAATTTCAAAGTAATTAGCTCAGACAGTTTTGGTTTGTTTGTGTTTTACGTCCTATTAACAGCTATGGTCATTTAAGGACGTGCCAGACTTTGGTGGTGGAGGAAAGCCAGAGTTGCCGGAGAAAAACCACCTGGCGACTGCCACACATAGGTCTTGAACCCGTGACCCAGCGATGGAGGGCTAGTGGTAGCAGAATGTTAGACACCTTAACAACTTGGCCTCGCGGCCCCAGCTCAGACAGACATACGATGTGATTACTATACGTCCTCCACATCTCTGATGTGAGGTCCTGATCAGTAGTGTATATAAATATGATATAGATATCACTAATGAGCTGATATTTTGGGAGTGTCCCTACCGTTTATAGAGCGTCCAATGATCCTTGAGGGAAGCATGGTTCTCCACAATCTCGTCCAGTGTGATGAGAACTCCGAGGACTTCTCCAAGCTCCTCAAACACAGCCTAGATAAACAAAACATGGTCTTCAATTACTGTGCATCACATTGTAAATACTTATTTAAACAGAGGTCATTATTTGTTCAATGCCTCCTCTAGGAATCAAACCCGGGACCTCTGGTTTACTAGTCTTACACTCTACTGAATGAGCTTAAGAGAAATGCTCTCTAGCCGAGTCTGTAGAGCATAAGCCTAGTAAGCCAGAGGTCCAGGGTTTGACTCCTGACAGAGGCATTAAGATACCTCGGTTACATCAGCACCCCCGTGGTAGGAAGCCGTGAAATATCGACAAAATACTAGCTATACTTGCAAAGGAATGGCTATGACCCCTGGAAAACTCTGAGCGTAAATCAGAGGTCCTGGTTTCAGCTCCTAGTGGAGGCATTTAAAAATATACTTCTGTTACATTATTTTGTGATCATCCTTCAGGCTAAATGATTTGACACTGAGAGGTTTCAGTGCATCTACTTTAATTAACTCTATATGAGAAGTAATGGGGATTTACTGTGACAGGAGAACTTACCTACAATATAAACATACTTTATCATGCATTCCCTCAAAAAGTGTGCCCTTGTAAACTTGTAAATCAGCAAGTCATGAGAATGAAGCGAATGAAAATACATGGATGAGTATTGCTACTTATGTCACAATATCTAATTATATCCCATTCTATAGGTCAGTAATGACATAAAATGTATAATTATTTATTTAACCTTGTGATTAACTTATTTTAGCATGATGTTTTAGTCCAAAATTCAAAAGAAGATTTACCTTGAAATGGACATCAGTAACATCAATGAGTTTAGGTCCTCCTCTGTAAGATAGAAATTTATATCATTAATCGTTTTAATTCTAAATTGTCACCTGTAAGTGACCTTCTTACATCAATGAGTTAAGGTTGAAGCTTCAGAATCACTACCAGGTAGTACCTTTAAACTATATTTTTTTGTCATTCATGATAATCAGTCCTATAAACACTATCACACATTTTATCTAATCGTTTCACAGAAAATACTGAGCCTACAAGTCTCACTATGTATGGGTAAGTATCACAACTTCATTGCAGGCACTTTAATACAAATGTTTTTATTAGTTTACAAGGATTTACATTTTTATCAAGCATTTTGCTTGGTTATACAAGGACTTACAAATGTACCACATATTTTATTAGTTATACAAGGACTTACACATGTACTGAGTGTTTTGATTGGTTATACAAGGACTTACAAATGTACTGAGTGTTTTGATTGGTTATACAAGGACTTACACACGTACTGAGTGTTTTGATTGGTTATACAAGGACTTACACATGTACTGATTGTTTTGATTGGTTATACAAGGCCTTACAAATGTACTGAGTGTTTTTATTGGTTATACAAGGACTTACAAATGTACTGAGTGTTTTGATTGGTTATACAAGGACTTACAAATGTACCAAATGTTTTGATCGGTTAAAAAAGGGCTTAAAAATGTACAAAGACTTACTGAGACAAGGAATACAGGCAGGCAAACTGGTGAATGACATTTCTGACAACTTCATAGCAACGGTTTACAAAGCATGACAGCTCCTGTAGGAAAGATGGTAAAATGAAAATAAAATCCTTCCTTAATTTTATAAATATTTTGGATAATCTTTGACACTAAATCAGAGTACTGATTTTTTCTTATGTCAGAATGTATGTTGCATTCATATAGAAAAAAAGCTTTTTCAAAATTATGTATTTCATTTCCCTGCATATCCTAGTTTCTAAAGAAGCTAAAACACAGAAATGTTATTTTTCAACTTGGTCATCACTGTGATTCTCTGGGTGAATACATAAAGAATGTGACAAAATAATCTGAACCCAAACTAATAAGGTAGAAATATATACAGGACATATAGGATCTTACATGGGTTTCTATTTCAAATGTGATTTATTAAACGAGTCTAAGAATTTTTCAATTTAGCGAGCCTTTGGTGAGCTCAAATGAAAAATTTGTGACAAATTTTGACTCCAGCACGTAAGTCGGTGACGTCACAATTGAAACAATTGAAACTTACAACCAATAACAGGGCTGATAGGTCATATTACATGGGTTAGTATGCAAACAAATTTGCCATGGGTATATTCACTGGATAACACAGTACATTAAGTGATAACACAGTACATTAAGTGATAACACAGTACATTATGTGATAACACAGTACAATAATAATAAATAATAATATACAGCATTTATATAGCGCCCTATATAATTTGTAAAATTACTCTTAAGGCGCTTTACAACATATGGATAATAGTAATGGTTATAATTGTGAAAACAAACAACAAAGGCTTGCAATCACTTTCATACATTTAACAAGCAATGTGCACATAATTGAACAAATAAAAGGGTGGTATTTACATGACGTCTTTGCAAAGATTCTAAAATGCAGACGTGAAGAGGTGAGTTTTTATGTCCCTCTTGAACTTGG